TTTTTTTCCCCTGCCAGTACCAGGGTTTGAATTCAGGGCCTCAGCCTTACTCACTTTTGATCTACCGCTTGAGCCAGCCTCCCGCCTTGCTTTTTGCTAGATACTTTGGAGATAGGAGTGGTGAGGATTTTTTTGGCCTGGGCTGACTTGGCGCCTTAATTCTTGAATTTCAACTTTCTGATTAGCTAGGATTATGAGTGTAAGCCACTAGCACCCAGTTTCATTCTTGAGTCATTTGTAATGGCTCAAGGTTTTGTGGGCCCATGGAGAAGATAGGAGAAGAACATGTGGAACCCAAGCCTGCTATGGTACGGGAATTGAGACCTTTTCTGTAATTTCTAGTCTGAATCATCTGCCAACAATGACAGGCATAGCCTTTGGGGCAGGCAGTCCTATTGTGATACCATCTTGTGTTTAAATCCTTTGTTCTTATAGAGCTCTAACTTGGGCTTTACTTCCAAAGGAGCAGAGCAATACTCTTGGACTGATAGACGATGGGAATTTTCAGTGTTTATGGTAGACTTATAGTCTTTTTCTATGGTTTTGAAACTAACTGGTTTCTATTAAATGGTCCAACATCTGAAGCAGCAAAGGAGTTGTCTTTGCAATTTAATGGAGAACTTGAGTCCTCAAGATGAAAATTTAATATACCCCAAATCTGTGCATATTTCTTTCAGAAAACATCCCAGAAAAATGGACTCCAGAAGTTAAGCATTTCTGTCCCAACGTGCCCATTATCCTGGTTGGAAACAAGAAGGATCTTCGGAATGATGAGCACACAAGGCGGGAGTTAGCTAAGATGAAGCAGGCATGGTTTGGGAGAAAGATGGGAATGGGATGGGGAGCGCAGAGAATCTGTTTTCCTAATAGTGTTTTTGAACTTGAGCACCAGCAAAACCAATCATGACCAGGTTGTTTTAGAGGCCCAGAAATCTTGCCTGCCTGGCCCTTGTTTACTGGGACCTGTACAGAAGGAACCTTAAGATTCCTTAGTCCAAGCCGGGCGCTGGTGGCTCACGCCTGTAATCCTAGCTACTCAGGAGGCTGAGATCTGAGGATAGCGGTTCAAAGCCAGCCCGAGCAGGAAAGACTGTGAGACTCCTATCTCCATTAAACCACCAGAAAACCGGAAGTGGCGCTGTAGCTCAAGTGGTAGAGCGCTCGCCTTGAGCTGAAGAGCTGAGGGACAGCGCCCAGGCCTAGAGTTCAAGCCCCACGACCGACAAAAAAAAAAAAAAGATTCCTTAGTCCTGTGAAATAGGCTCTGAGATTCCCAAAGAATTGACTAAGTCTAGGAGGGAACCATCTTAGTGACATCAGATGTATGCAGGAGTTTTATCACATTCTCGATTTCCAGTTATTACCTGGGTGTGTATATATATATATATATATATATATATATATATAAGAGGCTGAGGTAGCAACTGAAGGATCAGGAAATCCTAAAGGTAAGAAAGTTCAAATGGGAAGCCCTAGTGTTGCTGGGCACTGGTGGCTTATGCCTATAATCCTAGCTGCTCAGGAGGGCTGTGCACATGCTTCAAAGCCAGCCCAGGCAAGAAACTCTGTTGAGATTCTTCTCTCCACTTAACCATTAGAAAATCGGAAGTGGCACTGTGGCTCAAGTGGTAAAGCACTTGCCTTGAGCAGAAGAGCTGAGGGACAACGCTCAGGCCCAGAGTTTAAGCCCTAATGTCTTTGTAATAAGTAATGATGGAGGTAGATCTTGGCCTCTTTCAGAGGCCAGGTGGCCTAATGGCAGCCCTTCCCATGGCAGGGAGAGGGCTTCAACCTGAGAAACTCAAGATCCACTGGCTTTTCTTTTATTAAGGGCAAGCTCTTATGTTTCCATCTGTGGGCAGATGTCCTTTGTAAAACTAATACTAGAAGACCTAAGAGCTTGTTTTGGATTATCTCCTTAAAATAATCATCCAGGGCAAGCCGGGCACCGGTGGCTCATGCCTATCATCCTAGCTACTCAGAAGGCTGAGATCTGAGGATCACGGTTCAAAAGGGCAGGAAAGTCTGTGAGACTCTTATCTCCAATAAACCACTAGAAAACCAGAAGTGGCGCTGTGGCTCAAGCAGCAGAGCGCTCACCTTGAGCGGAAGAGCGCAGGAATAGTGCCCAAGCCCAGAGTTCAAGCCCCACCACTGACCCAGAAAAAAAAAAATCATCCAAGGCTGCTTGGAGCTCCCCACCCACTTTGTTTTTGGGGTATGGGTTAAGGGCTTGGAACTTGGGAGGGTCCTGAGCACCGTCCCTTAGCTTTTTTCCTAAAGGCTGGTGCACTTCCACTTGAGCCACAGCTTCAATGCTGGTTTGGGAGTAGTTGATTGGAGATAAAAGAGTCATTAAGCAGGGTGCATTTGGCTCAAGCCTGTAATCCTAGATAATCTGTAGACTTGGGATCTGAGAATCTCAGTTCAAAGCTAGCCTGGTCAGAAATGTGAGATTTTGGATCAACTAAACCATTGGTTAGAATAACCAGGTGGAGGCTGGGGAGTAGAGCGGTGGTGCAAGAGAATTGCTGGAGGTGGTTAACTGAATTTAAATACGGTGCCTAAGGGAGGCTTTTAGCTGAAAGGACTTTTTTCTCTCCACCAGGAGCCAGTTAAACCAGAAGAGGGCAGAGATATGGCCAACAGGATTGGCGCTTTTGGGTACATGGAGTGTTCAGCAAAGACCAAAGACGGAGTGAGAGAGGTTTTTGAAATGGCCACAAGAGCCGCTCTGCAAGCCAGACGTGGGAAGAAAAAATCTGGGTGCCTTGTCTTGTGAAACCTTGCTGCGAGCACAACCCTCATGCGGTTAATTTCGAAGTGCTGTTTATTAATCTTAGTGTATGATTACTGGCCTTTTTCATTTATCTATAATTTACCTAAGATTACAAATCAGAAGTCATCTTGCTACCAGTATTTAGAAGCCAACCATGATTATTAATGATGTCCAACCCGTCTGACCTGCCAGGGTCCTTCTGACACTGCTCTGACAGCCTCTCTCTGCACTCCACCTGACACACCAGGCGCTAATTCAAGGAATTTCTTCTTGCTTCTTTCTAGAAAGAGAAATGGTAACTTTTGTGAATTAGGCTGTAACTACTTTATAACTAACATGTCCTGCCTATCATCTCTCAGCTGCAAGGAACTCTGGTGAGTTGCCACTATCAGAGCTTCTACTCCTTCATAGATTTTCAATGGCCCAGCTCTGGGTGGACATCTAGTTTTTTTTTTGTTTTTGTTTTTTTTGGAAAATGTACTCAGCCAGAAAGGCAAGTCCTTGGCAGCTGTGGCAGAGTTACAGTTCTGTGGTTTCATGTTAGTTACCTTATAGTTACTGTGTAATTAGTGCCACTTAATGTATGTTACCAAAAATAAATATATCTACCCCAGACTAGATGTAGTATTTTTTGTATAATTCGATTTCCTAATACTGATACTTGCCATTCCCACAAAAAAAAAAATGTTTTTTTAAGAAAACAAAAAAAAAATATGAGTGTATCCGGAAATAAAGTCAGATGGAAAAATTCATTTTTAAAGTTCCCGTTTTGTCAATTTCTCTGATAAAATATGGCCATTTCACTGAAAACAGCCCCCCCCCCCCCCCATATCCCAGTACCCTGTTTGGGAGCTGGGCTAATTATATAGGAATTTGGTTTCACGCCTGAGGCAAATAAGACACTTCGTATAGCCTTTTTCACCTGGACTGCAGGGTCTGGCTCTAATTCACAGTGCTCCTTTCTTACTGTATCCAGGTTCCCTCCCACAGGAGCCGCCAGTTCTCATGAGAGACACTGGGGTTTCTCTTCTCTCCAGCTGACTAAACTTTTTTTCTGTACCAGTTAATTTTTCCAAGTAATAGAATAAAGGCAGTTTTCTAAACTTCCTGTATCCTGGTGTGTGTTTTGCTTTTCTCCAGGGGTTGGGGACCAGAGGACGGAAGGAAGGACTCAGCCCAGCTGACCTAGTTCACCTTGGAGAAAAGGGTGTAGAAAGTACCAGCTTTGTCGTGGGTTGGCCCCCACCCCACCCCACCCCACCCTTTCACTGATCCAGCACTAACCTGGCTCCTTCAAGAATATAGGAAACGATCGTGTGTCTCAAGTTCAGATTGGAAGTGGGTAGGAATCTGGTCAGAAGGCTCCACCCCGGAAAGCTGGAGCAGGACCTCTGAGCCTGTGCTGTTACTAAAAAACAAAACTGTAGGAAGGTGTGCTTCCCTGGGGTCAGTAAAAAATCCGGTAAGGCCTAGCAGCTCACACTTGTAACCTAGCTACTCGAGAGGCTGAGATCTGAGAATTACCGTTTGAAACTAGCCCAGGCAGAAAAGTCCGTGAGACTCTTCTCCAATTCAGCACGCAAAGGCCAGAAATGGTGCTGTGGCTTAAAAGTGGTCGAGTGCTATCCTTGAGGAAAAGAGCTCAAGCCCCGTGAGCGGCAAAAGGCCCACAAGCCTGATTTAGAGTCCTTACTGCCCCGGCTGTGGCACCCTTCCTATAACCACAGCCAAGAGAGCACCTTGGTAGCCTCTAAGCCTGGGACTCTGGCCGGTGGCAGCCTGCAGCCTGCGGGTAGCCCTGCCCGGAGCCGGCTGTTTGCGAGCTGCTTCCGGCTGTTGCCTTGGCCAACGGCTGTTCTCCTAGGCCGGGTTGGGGGGGGGGGTTCGCACCCTAATTAGGAAACTTTGGAGCAAATCGGAGCCCTCCGGCCCCGGGGCTTTCCGGTGGGGTAACGCAGGTAGCTGCCACTGGAACCGCCCTGGGTTTCCTGGGCCTGACCGGACTCGTTCTCGGCCCCACCCGGTGTGGGTGAGGCTGAAGTTCCGCCCGACGCGCCCTGCCTCGCACCCTCCCGCCTCCCCGGGCTGGGGGAGGGGGTGGGCGGGGCCGGATGAGGCGGGACCCGGGGGGGGCGGGCCGCGCGCCGCGGGCTGGCAGGCCGGAAAGGTGCCGGGGTCACGTGACCGCCCCGCCGACCAGTTAAAAGGAGGCGCCCGGCCGCCCGCCGCCAGTTCTCCCGCCCGGCTTTGCAGACGCGGGTCACCATGTGTGCTGCCCCGACCCCGACCGCCACGGCGGCCGTGGCCGCCGCCGTCCCGTCCACCGTGTACGACTTCTCGGCGCGCCCGCTGTCCGGCGGGGAGCCCCTGTGCCTGGGCTCCCTGCGGGGCAAGGTGCTGCTCATCGAGAACGTGGCGTCGCTCTGAGGCACCACGGTCCGGGACTACACCCAGATGAACGAGCTGCAGCGGCGGCTCGGGCCCCGCGGCCTGGTCGTCCTGGGGTTCCCGTGCAACCAGTTTGGACATCAGGTGTGTGGGGCGGGGGGCGCCGGCCCGCTCCCCTCCCGACGCGCCTAGCGGCTTGGAACTCTGGCCCGCCTTGGGGATTGTGCAAAGAAGGAAACACCCTGGTGACTCATAGGAAGGGGGGGCCCTTTGTTTGTGGTTATAAGGCCCCCCCCTCCACGCGCGGCCCCCCGGCCCTCGCTGACCTCCCTCTCCTTCTCTCCCTCCTGCAGGAGAACTCTGAGAACGAAGAGATTCTAAATACCCTCAAGTACGTCCGGCCGGGTGGCGGGTTCGAGCCCAACTTCACACTCTTCGAGAAGTGCGAGGTGAATGGTGCCAAGGCGCATCCACTCTTCGCCTTCCTGCGGAGGGCCCTGCCGGCGCCCAGCGACGACCCCATAGGGTTCATAACGGACCCCAAGTTAGTCATCTGGTCGCCCGTGAGCCGCAACGACGTCGCCTGGAACTTTGAGAAGTTCCTGGTGGGGCCGGACGGGGTGCCGGTGCGGCGGTACAGCCGCCGCTTTCCCACCATCGATATAGAGGGTGACATCGAAGCTCTGCTGAGCAAGGGTCCCAGCTGTGCCTAAAGCAGCCCTCCTGTCCACGCACGCTGGGGCGGACTTGGCTGCCCACTTTGGGGATTCCATCCATGAAGGCGTTTCCTCTAAACTGCATGGAAGAACGCTTGATTTCTAGGAGAATCCCCTGAGGTGGGCGCTGGTCCTGCCCATTCCCTCTGCCTTTCTGCCCAAATCCAGGCAGTTTTCCTGATCAATAAAGTGCTTCGTATCAGACAACTGCGTTTATCCTGTTTTCTGTGTCAGGTAATGTCATTTTTTTTTTTACCCCCTATAATTATCATCACATCAGGAATTTAATCCAAATTCTGAATTACATCACTTTTGTATATATCTAGTGGGATCTCTTGTATATATCTTTGTGGGATTTCTGCCCCTTATCCTTCAGTTTCTCCTTCTAGGACATATTAATAGAGGGAGACAGGGACAGACCAATGGTCTAATCCCAAGACTAGGTCTGGCCTCTGTAAGAATTTGCTGGACTCTTGAGATGATTGTTGCAAAATAAGTAACATGGGCCCCTGCTTATATTTAGGTCCTCAAGCATTAAGCCCACCCAAACAAGTCCACCTTACACTGTCACAGTTTGGTGCAATGAGTTTCCGATACTGCTACCTAGTGCTTTTATCTATTGCTGCCACTCATGTATAGCCTGTACTGACTTATAGGCAACTGCATAGTCAAGCCTAGGCTAGGGTTTATCTTAGAATCCTGCTGTTGCTATCGTCCTGTCCCTTTCATCTGTTGATCCTGTGGCCAATAATCGTTTCAAGACAGACCTAGTGCCATTTTCTATCACACAGAAGAGACCTCTGCAGCACCTGGGTGTAGCTTTTGCTTGGGAAGATAAGGTTGGCAAAATTCCCCAGTCCTAGTTGTGGACCACAGACCTGGGATCCAACTTTAGTGCCCAAGTTGGTAGCTCCCAAGTCCTTCCTATGTCTGAACTCCTATCACTGGGTGAAATCCCCAGGCCCAGACTTACCATTATTGGCAAAGCAACAAAGGAGCAAGTTTAGGGGAAGGTGGTTAGGTTCAGGCCCTGAATTCAAGACCCAGGACTGACAAAAAAAAAAAAAAAAAAGGCTGGAAGTGAGGCTATGGCTCATGTTAGAGGGCTAGTCTTGAGGAAAAAAGCTCAGGTACAGCTCCTAGAATACCAGTTCAAGCTCCAGGACCAACTACCCCCACAACCCAAAAAAGTTCAGGAGCAAAATTATGGGTTGAAGTTAGTTTGGCCAACAGGACAGCAGCCTTTAGAAAAGATCAGATTACCTAAGGAGATTGGCCTAAGGCCTTACAGATTCACAAACCTGGGTCAGGTGGCAGAAAAAGGCATCTGGAGAAGGATAAGGACAAAGCACCAAGGAAAAGGCTGTTTCATAAAGAATGTCTAGTTAGGAGCCAGGGATATAACTGACTAGAGCAGTAGCAGCAGCAGCAGTAGTAGTAATAGAGAGTAGTAGACTTGGCTTTTATCTCTAGCACCAATAAAAGAAAAAAGAAAAGAAAAATCAGCGGGGATAAGTGCTTATCTCAGCAAGCAAGCAGAAGATAGCCAGGCAAAAGCTGGGCGGGTACGGATGGCTCATACCTGTAATCTTATTTAGAAGGCTGACATCTGAGAATCAGGACTCAAAGCCAGCAGGAGAAAGTCCAGGAGCCTCTTTATCTCTAATTAACCACCAGAAAATAGAAGTGGAGCTGTGGCTCAAAGTGGTAGAGTGCTAGCCTTGAGCAAAAGAGCTCAGGGATAGCGCCAAAGCCCTGAGTTCAAGCCCTACCACCATCAACCCAAAAAAAAAAAAAAAGAGAGAGAGGGGATAGCCAGGTAGCTACATTTCTGGGAGGTAGAAGGTCCTATCCTAAGAACTAAATTACAGTGGCTAGAAATCACCTGGTGCATGTAAGAATTTATATTCCATAGCTACTGAATTGGAAGGTCTGGAGACCTAGGGTCCTCAATGGTATTCCAGCTAGACTGTGAGAAGTCTAGCAACTCTCCTGTTCTGTACAGTGTCAGTACATCCTGAGCTATTCTGTGATTAAGCTACAGACCCAGGACTTTCCAAACTGACTCAAACCTCTTCCTACAGGCTATGTAGTGACTCACCCTTTCTCCTCTGGTCCCAGGCCTTTTTTTGGGGGGAGGGGGGAAGAGGGGGCAGGGAGTACAAGTACCAAGGTTTGAATTCGGGGCCTTGAACTCTCATGTTTTTTTTCTCTGTTCAATCACTGCTGGCACTCTACAACTTGAGCTATACCTCCAGTCTAACATGTTGCTAGTTAACTCGAGATAAAAGTCTCAAAGAATTTTTCTAACAGGGGTCTCTTCCAACAAACCTCCAGGTCTCAGCCTCCTGAGTAGCTAGTATTATAGACATGAGCTGCTAGCTCCGGGCTTGGCTTTTTTTCTTTTTTTCCTTTGATACTAGTCCTAGGGCTTGAAGTCAGGGTCTGGGCACTGTTTCTGAGCTTTTGTACTCAAGGCAACACTCTACCACTTCTGGCTTTTTTGGTAAGTGGAGATAAGAGTCTCATAGGCTTCCTGCCTGGGCTGACTTTGAACTGAGATTCTTGAGATCCTCAGATCTCGGCCTCTGAAGTAACTAGAATTACGGTGTGAGCCACTGGTACCCGCTTGGCTGGTGGTGGTTGTTGTTGATACACAATCTCATTATACAGCTTGGGCTCTCAGGCTGGCCTCAAATTTTCCATCTTCCTTCTGTTCTCCTAAATGCTGGGATTGCACCACACCCTTGACCTTTTTTTCTTTTCCTTCCATTTACGCCTTCAGCTGCCAGGGATGAGAACTTCCTGTGTTCCCAATGTGGTTGACCGTGGATGAGGAAACATTCCTTCTTAGACTTCAAGCTGCTTCCTCCCTCAATTGAAGGTCTTTTCCAGCCCCTCTTTTTCAGGAACACCCAGCACAAAGCCAGTTAGGACATCAATAATTTCCCGAGAAGCTGGATACACACACACACACACACACACACACACACACACACACACACACACACACACACACACACACACACACACACACACACACACACACACACACACACACACACACACACACACACACACACAAAATCTGTTTTACCATTCAACCAAGGGCTTCTGCTTTGACCTGCACCTACTCCACCCCATGAATCAGCAGTTCTAATGAAAAAAAAAAAAGACTAGGAATCACATTCAGCCTGCCCAAGAGCTAGACTGCTGGTAAAATGACTGCTGAGCTGGGAACTTAGTAGTATTTAGGCCATAGACATTCTGGGAAAGGGATGGGGCCCTCCTGTTACTCAATTAGGTTCAGAAACTTTCTTTGTAGAAGTTCTAAAAGAAATGGTGTGTGTGTGTGTGTGTGTTTTACTGGGGATTGGACTGAACATAGCATTTGTTTTTTATAACATTAAATCTAATCAAATTGGGTCAGGCACTTATTACCTAATTAAGTTTTTCATCAAAATGACTTCTACCTTCTGTCTCAATGTAGCTCTACAAACAACATTTAAAGCCAACTTATTTTCAGAGGAGCATTTCTGACCTGACTAATAATTTTTTTTTTTTTGTCCTTCATCAGAACTTGGTGTCTGATGCTTTTGCTCATTGGCTGATGCTCTCTCATCTGAGCCTTGCCTCCAACCCCATAAATCTCTTTTCTGTGCCAGTGCTGGGGTTTAAGGTCCTGGGGCTTGAATTCAGGGCATGGACATTGTCTCTGAGCTTTTTTTTTTGCTCAAGGCTAGTGGGGTCTTTTTTTGATGTTTTTGTCGGTAGTGGGGCTTGAACTCTGAGCCTGGGCGCTGTCCCTCAGCTCTTCAGCTCAAAGCTAGTGTTCTAGCACTTGAGCCACAGTGCCACTTCTGGTTTTCTAGTGATTCATTGGAGATAAAAGTCTCATAGACTTTCCTGCCCCGGCTAGCTTTGAACCGTGATCCTCAGATCTCAGCCTCCTGAGTAGCTAGGATGACAGGCGTGAGCCACCAGCGCCCGGCACAAGAGGAATTTTTCAAAATAGGTTATTCCACTTAGGTGACTTCCTCGCCCTCTTCCTCAGGCTCTTGTTTCTGCTTCTCACCCTTTTCTTCTTCACCGAGATCTTCCTCGTCTTTCTCATCATCGACCTTCCCATCATTATAGCCTTCTTCATCCTCCTCCTTCTCTCCACTCACGTCCTCCTCTTCCTCTTCCTCCTCCTTGTCCTCATCCTCCTCATCTTCTACCACCTGAGTGTTTTCCTTGTATTCCTCCTCATCCTCATCCTCCTCCTCATCGCCCAGGTCCTCCAAGTAGCCCTAGGAGTCGGGGGCCTCCTTGTTATCCCCAGCGTAGCCGTCCAGGTACCTGAGGGCGGGAGGAGCTCAAACATGCTTTCTCTGTAGTCCTTCAGGTTGGTCACCTCGAAGTTGAAAAGGTCTAAGCTTTTAGGGTTCCCTAACTTCTTCAGTGGCTCCATCGTGCGGAGGTCTTTAATTTTTCTGCCACTTAAATTTAGATGCGTGGGCTGGGAAGGTGGCTCAATGGTAGAGCGCTTACCTTGCATGCATGAGGCCCTGGGTTCGATTCCTCAGCACCACATAAGCAAAAAGAAAAAAGCCAGAAGTGGCGCTGTGGCTCAGGTGGTAGAGCGCTAGCCTTGAGCTGAAGAGCTGAGGGACAGCGCCCAGGCCCAGAGTTCAGGCCCCACAACCGGACCCAAAAAAAAAAAAAAATAAATAAATAAATTTAGATGCGTAAGGGGCTGGGAAGGTGGCTCAGTGGTAGAGCACTTGCCTTGCATGCCTGAGGCCCTGGGTTCGATTCCTCAGCACCACATAAGCAAAAAGCAAAAAGCCGGAAGTGGCACTGTAGCTCAAGTGGTAGAGCGCTAGCCTTGAGCTGAAGAGCTGAGGGACAGCGCCTAGGCCCAGAGTTCAGGCCCCACGATCGGACCAAAAAAAAAAAAAATTTAGATGCGTAAGGTTTGGACACTTTTCTGCCAATACTTCCAGGCCCCCTGTGATTCTGTTATTGCTTAGCTCAAGCTTAAGTTTGTTTAACCTTGGTAAGTTTGCAACGGAGGTGAGGCCTACGTTGATAGCACTCAAGAATCCTAGTTCTTTGAACTGGTCTATGAGGCCCTCGGTTTTGCCTTCGTTCACCCAGCAGCTGTCCAAGACAAGCTCTAAATGAATCTGCTTGTCCATCTCCATCTTCCACGCTTGCTCGTT